CATTAATATATAATATTATTGAAGAAGGAATCTATCCGTCACTATCAATTTTACAACATACTGCAAAGCCTAGACAATATAAAATACCCGATAATTATAAAATTAAAACTACCTGGGGAAAACCAAATAAAGAAATCACAATCATCGCTTCTATTAATTATATCGATCAAAAACCAATCTATAACATCAAATGGGTTAATAAAAAAACTCATAAAGAAGAGAAAATTTATTCAGATAAATCATCATCAAATGCCGCATCATTATTTTCAAAGGTAAATTATGTTTGACTTTATAAATAATTTATCAAAATTTTATTTAATAATTAAAAATTATTAGAAATATAATGAAGGAAAAAAAACTGAATACTCCGGTCCTGAAATATTTGGGTTACAATTAGAACCTGTAGAAAAAGAGTGACTTAGAAAACAACATCCTAGAGCATTAAAACCAATTAATAATTTAAGTTTATCAGCTCAAAGAGATCGGGCCAATAAAATTGCTAAATTGGAATATCAAACATTTGAAGAAAAATGTAAAGATCTTTTTCACTCTAATGATAATCCTACTTTACGGTCTATAATTTATGAGCTTCCAAATCAAATTTGGACTATTAATTATCATCCTAAAAATAAAATACAAAATAAACAAGTTGAAGAAATTGTTTACGCCCTAGACCAAGGAAACATATCACAGGAATCTTATCGATCTTTAGCTGCAATTTCATATGAATTACCTCGAGAATATATAGTTGCAGCTGCTAGGAACAAAATTAATGATATTAAGAATACTGAAATTCCTATACGAATTATTGATATTAATAGTCCAAACTTGGAAATAGATGAACATAATAAGGAAGTGCATATTAATGATTCACAAATAATTCAAAATGTTACAGAATCAGTTGGCAAGTGTGGAATTAGAAATATAAAAAATATATTACTATTTCTAATTCCGGTTTGGATCTCAAAAAATATTTTAAGTAATCAAGACTTGACAATTCATATTCGAATTTCCGGTGATGGGAGAAATGTTGAAAATAAAATTAAACACGTGATGATAACTTTTATAATTCTTAATAATAATAATAATATTTATGAACCTGATAATCATTATACGCTAGCATTATATCCCGGAATTGAAAATTTTGAACTGCTTAAAGTTAGCTTGGCTCCATTAACTCAAGATCTTATAGAATTAAAAAATAATGGAATTATAGATATTTCAGAAAAACATTGGAATATAGAACTTTATTTTAGTTCAGATTGGAAATTCTTAGCAATTTCTCTTGGTTTTAATACAGCGAATTCTAATTTTTTCTGTCCTTGGTGTAATTGTTCGAAGAAAGATCTAGGAAACAAAGCAAAACATTGGACAATTAATAAAAATATGGAGCAAATTATAACACAACTTAATTATTATCCTGAACATTCAAAGTTACCACTATTTTCAATGATTCTGATAACTCATTGGGTTGTCGATGAATTACATGTTTTATTACGAATCTATGATCGACTCTGGGGGTTAGTAGTACAAGAATGCAAACAGAATACTAACAATATAAGAATGGATTTATGTAAAGAAATGAACAAGATTGGAATAAAATTTCATTTCTGGCAAGATTCTATATCAAAAACTTGGAATTATACGGCACTAATGGGCAATGACAAATTGTGGTTTAAAACAATTTAATTTGGCAATTATGTTACCTTATACACGTGCAATACAAGTACGCAAATTATGGACAGAATTTCATCAACTATATATAGCTCTTAAGAATCCTGTAACAGATCCGGACATATTTGCAAATAGGGCAAAAACATGGCTAGATCTATTTTTAACACCATCAAGCAATCAAGATCGAGGACTTTATAAACCAGCAGATGTAATTCCGTACATGCATGTCTTAGTGTTCCATGTTCCTGAGTTTATGCGTATTCACAAAAACTTTGGAATAAAAGCATTTTCCTGTAGTGGTATAGAAAAAAAGAATCACAAACAAGTTTGTTACTTTTTTTCTAAAACAATGAAAGATGGTGGTCAAATATGAAACTCGGCAATTTTAGAAATTTTATTATTTGAAAATAGAGTTTTATATTTTCAAAAATATAAAATTGCTACTTTCTCACGTCAACAAAAGCGGCTTTATTATGAAACAAATAAATAATTACTGAATTATAATAAATATTACTAAGCATATATTGTAATTTAAATTTAATCGTTTATTAGTATTTAATAATTATATAAACTAAGTAAATTCTTTTAAGTATTACAATTGTAACTTTCCACCTGCTAGAATATAAATTCTGATTATATAACTTTATAAAAATATTTTTTATATATTTTTAATTAAAAGAAATCTATAATATTAAAAAATTATATGCGGATTATTCTCTCTTGTGAGTTTCTTTAAACTAATATTCTTTGCGAATTATTTATAATAATAATAAGAATTACTAAATAAGCTGCATTGTAAAAATAACTAGTAGTAGAATATAAAGTATAAAAAATAGAACTCATTAAAATAAAATAGATTTTTCAATTCTGCAAGTCTTAAATAGTTTCACTACCTTTGCTTATGTGACTTCTACTTTACTACTTGAAATATGAATTGTAACAGTTGAATGGTTACCTCCATTCTGTAAATCACAATAATTGAGTATATTGCAGTTAATCGCATCTTCGACAAATTGTTGAATTATCTCTTTGGCATTCTTAATATCATCTGGTATACTTCTATAATATTTGATGACTGATTTGTAATTAGGCAATTTTAAAAATTCTATTATATTCGTGAAAAATAAAGTTAACTATTCTGAATTTTAATTATCCTGTGAAAATCGAATCTGTGCTCTGTTTGCTTTTTTATCCTCTAGCTAACCCATATATATAACTTTTTCATATACTTATTTCTACTAGATATGTATCTATTTAATTTAGATAATTGAGTAATATCCTATCTATTTAATTTAGTCTTAAATATCAAAAAAGGTTTCGCTTTAAAATAAGTATATAAAAGTTATGTTACATATATGGCAAAGAATAAATCAGTTATATCCTGTGTAATTGAATATAAACAAAATTTTTGTAGTAAAGTATAACTAATTGCTTATGCAGCTGATTATACTTACTGCCAAATTCCACTTATACCCAACTGCCCAGGATATAACTATTACTTAGTAAGTATTAAATAATAAGAAACTGCTCATTTTATTCTTAATTTAGAGATCGATTAAAGCCAGGTTCGATCATAAGATTTTAACCAATCAAAATCATAAATTTTTGTTTACACCAAATAGCCTGATGAAGCAAAAAAAGTAAAAAATACGAAAAATACAAGAAACCAATATCAAAACCCACTTTGATACATTAAATAAAATGTCGAACAGATGATTTTATCTATAAGACTTTTTTAACCCTAACCCAAATGGGCTCTAATCTAATCCTAACCTTAATGTAATTAAATTTCATGATTGAACCTGGCTTTAACGGTTCCCTTAATATTAAACCAAAAAACTTTGAAAAAATTTACCTATAACTAACAATTTTTTTTAGCAAATACTTCAAATATTTATTAAAAGAATTTCATTATAACTAAATATATACATACAATTAAGAATTATATTATTAAATTTAAGAAAAATATTCTTGATCTATACAAAATCTAATTCTTAATTGTCCACCTGATGTTTGATGCCCTCTTGCATCTTTAATCTTTTCTTGAAACCATTCTACGGTTATTTCTGGTGGTACTACACTAATCGTTTTGAGATTTGAACTTTCACTACTTTCACTCTCTTACAAATACAATTGTACATAGCTTTTTTGATTGTTTTCATAATATCGAGTTCCCCATTGTTCATCTCCAAGTAAATTTCTTAGTATATCTTCCGCATTATAACCTTTGAAAATACACCAATAAGTATGTTTAGCTGGTGAAAATCGACTCAAGTAATTTCCAAATACTGCAATAAATTCACTATCTGTACATGGAAATTTAATAAGTTGCTTGCCTGTCATGGTATAATGAAGAGAAAGTTTCTTATGTATTTCATTAACTATCAACTTCTTGAATTGTTCAATATGTTGTACAGGCAAAGAAATTATATTAGCAGGAGGTTGATTATAAGACCGGTGAACCAAATTTTCATGACGAATAAGGCCTTGAAAAGTTTTATAATTTTTCTTATTACAAATGGTGCACCGGTATTGGCCTTGAATCAAAGTAGGCTGCTGTTTTGTCAAGATAGTCGTCGTTTTAATCATTCTTGTCTTGAATTTAGTTCAAATAAAAACAAATTTATTTTGTTTGTTAAATTTTATAAAAAAAAATACTTTTTATGACGTTATACATATCTTACACCAGCCAAAACTCATTAGTTTACGGGTGGGCTCATTGGTTTGACGTAATAAAATAGTTTATTTCATGTTATTGTCGGCGAACAAATTTTTTTTTTGGGGTCAGTCATTTGTTTGCCGATTATGACTAATTTAAAAGTGGGGTGTTTTTTTGGTTACACGTATTTAAAAAAAAGGTCCAAAAAATGTAATCAGCGGATATGTAGTTACAGTATTTGGTTGCACATCAAGATAATTACGAGTTTTGGGTCTGGTTTACTAACAGTAATGGGGTAACAACACAATACCGGAACTAGCATTACCATTCATATGGAGAGATATAATTTTAATTTAATAAAAAGTTTCATAACAAAGTCACTTGAAAATTCGTATAACAATTATATATTTACGTAAATGACTTGGGTAGTTATGCTAGAGGGGTTATATGTTAACCGTCCTTTGTGAATAAAGCTTTCTTATATTATTGCAGCATTACAATATTTTGACACAAAAGCATTATGACATTACGGTATTTCTTTATGGCTCACAATACGGCAAAAAATGCAGCTCGTGCTGTAATTAAAATAATTTATAAAATTTGTTCTACATCAGCTCTATGCCATACTTTGAGACGATACAAAATAAAACATATATCATTTTATATTTTGAGAGCCTATTTGACACTTAATATGTTTAACAATAATTTGAAAAAACCGTAGAATTTCTAAAGCAAAAAATAGCCAAAGAGTAAAAAAAAAAAAAAAAGAAAATAGAATTCAATTTAGACTAACTCAAAAAATTAGGAAAGCCATAAATTTATTAAGAAAGGTCAAGAATTTACACAACTATTATATCAAAACAATTTGCGCGAGTACTATTAATGAATTTGTATATGCTGAGTAAATCCATCAAAGTTAGTAAACGAAACCTTTACTGATGTTATGATTTAAAGCATTTTCAATATAAGCTTTCTTTTATACAAAATAAAACTATTCTACAAAACAACACGAGGCATTTTCAGAACTGTAGGCTACACAGTATCCATCACAATATTCAAGACAATCTTCAATAGTTTCATAAATGAATTTCGAGACAATACATTTCACATGAAGACCTGATATAATTTGCATTTTAGTGGTTGTTAAATAAATATAAAAAAATATCATTTATTACCTCTTTTTCATTAATTTTGCATCTCTTCGATCATGTTCGGGACTAGCGATTGCTACTACGTTGATGGTTGTGAGAGCTAACAACAGTATTAACAAGAGTTTGTAGTTCATTTTTAAAAGTTAACTCCTTTTTATTAAAAATCAGTGGAAACAAAATGTGAAAATTTGAAAAAAACCGGAAATGAGTTAAGAGAATTTTTTAAGAGCAAATGTATAAGGCTTTTCGCATAATAGCAAGCCCACATTCGTTACCAGGAATATTAATATTTGGCAAACAATTAATATGCACAGCCGAGTTGAACATATATTCTTTTATAATTTTAGTAGTATAGTAAACAAAAGTCAAAGTGTAAATAGTTATTTATGCATAAGAAAAAAATGTGTGAAGCTTATTAAGCCCGCATAATAAGAATTATAATTATTTATACACACAACTAAAAAAAATTTTTGGCAGCCAAAATATTTTTAGGTCGTTATTGAAAAATCTTCTACGTATTAATGTGATATGCGTGTTTTTGTCTTCAGGCGTTAGATCGGCTACGTAGCAAACACATGCAGGCTACAAAACATAAATGACTATGTATAACCACAACAGAGACAGTGCCCGATCCATCTCTCTTGTGATCAATCACAAATTAAATTGTTTATTTATATTGGATTCAATTGTAATGGATATAATCCCTCACCAATTTTAATATATGTGTAACATTAACGGTCTCTGCTGTTTGTATAACCACATTATTATAGTTAGTGGATATATTACATAAATTGTAGCTTTTTTCTGACTTGTTGAATTTACAGAAATAACTAGTATTCTGTCTGTGACTTGAAAACCCTCGATTTTGTCATACTGTAACTGTCTTTATTGCTATGACAAGGCAATTCTCTTTCTTTGGTAACGTAGGGGCGTGATCATAAAGCCTGTTTTGGCTGGTGAAGGCATATTTTCAAATTTTTTTCTATTCTTATACATTGTTTCTGTATATCAAAGATCATACGCGAATTGGTGTTAAACTATTTCTGATTTATCTTATTTAAAAGTGAAGCCATATTATAACCTATACTTTTGTTTTATAGCGATAAATCTCACTTCCATGTTTGTATTATCGTTAACGTTAAGATGTCATTTCCCTTCCGTATTTGTATCGCCATAGCCATGTTAATCTTACCTTTTAGTAGTATTAGGCATTATTACGTATTCTAAGTGGCTTAGCCCAAGTGAATTCCCATAATCGTGTATACACCACAATTTCCACGTATATGCGGGTTGTATAAACTTGATAGAATATGTTGCCCGTGGGAAAGCATGTTTAAATCTGAATTAGTAATGTGGACCCTATAATCTTGGCGTTAACATCTTGAGAAATTAGGATATATATAAAAGTGTGCTCTCACCTTAGTTCACTATCTAGTGTATGCCCCTCTAAATAAATTTTTATAAATTTACATTTTCTTCTATAATAAATGCCTAATACGAGTCCTCTATTATATCATCAGGTTCCCGATCTTCTCTTGCGTTTACCATCGGAGTTAAACTCGCCATGAATGTCGGAGGCTTTCCATACGATGGTGACAATACTTAAGAAAATAGAGTTCTAAGTGGTGATTTTCGCCCTTTATAAAGCCCCAGTCTTCGATGTCTTAAAAGATGTGACAATAAGATTTATTTCTCAAGTGTTGCATTCAGGCCTTATTTTATTGTAACATGTATTAACTAATAAACTCTGATTTTTAAATATTTCGCTAAATTACGTTCAAAATCGACATATTACTTTGGAATTATCATTGAATTTAGTAATCGTTACACTTACATGCTTAATACTTGACTCTTGGTCACTTATTAATTTATTACATCACTTGCGTCATCATTTTGTTGATTCATTTAATTAATCACATAATTGTGCTCAATATATTCATTAATTAACTCCCGACCCCGATCAATTAATTGATTGTTATATACGTCCAAACTAGAGGTGCGGACATATTGACGTAATAAGGCCGTAACTTAATTACCTCAATATGAAAAGTTGTCTACCGGTTTCTAAATAAGTCGTAGCTAGTGACGACTAGTGTTGGTCACCGAAACCTTTTTGGCCAAATCCGAAAGTTTCGGGTTTCGGATTATAGTTTCCGAAACCCTATCCGAAACTCGAAACCTTACCCAAAACCTGAAACTTTACCCAAAACCCAAAACCTTACCTGAAACCCAAGATTTTGCCTGAAACCTGAGACTCTGCCTAAAACCTAAAATATTTTCCAAAACCTGAAACCTTACCTAAAACCTGAAATTTTATTTATAGCTATTTTTATAAATTCTAGGACACTTGATAAAAATTTGTTAAACAGTTTTTTAGTTGATTCAATTAAGTTATTAATTTTGGCATAATATATTTAATATGAAATTTAAGATTAGGTGATTAATCCAAAATTTTTATAAAATTTTGTTTAAAATTGTTTGAAATAGTTTTGATTTTTTAAACAGGAATTTATTTTTATACTGTTTTCATTGTGGAATATTAAAATAAAGTTTAATTAAATGTTTATCTTATAAAAAATATTAATATTCAATAAATATTATGTAAATATTCAATACGTAGAGTTAATTTGTTAAATAAAAAATTAAATAATTTTAGAATAGTTCTAAAAAATTATTTATATTAATTATTAAAATTATTATTAAATATAATTAATTTTTATAATTTTTATTTAGATTTTTAATAAAAATCTTTTAATTATAACAAATAAATCTGTTAAAACAATTATTTGTAGAAAAAAATTTAAAATAATACATATTTATAATTTAGCTAAAATTTTTGAACCTATTAAAGATACTATTATTAAATTAGAAAATAGAAATATAACATTAACTGATTGTTATTTTGTATTATTAAGTTTAAAAATTTAATTTATAAAATGTCTGAAAAAACTTATAAATATTTTCATCAATATGCTACAAAGTATTTAATTCAAGATTTGAAAAATATTAATTTAATAAATATCTTTTAGTATATTTTCTTTATTCAGGCTATAAACATAAATTAATTATTATTTAATTTTAAATTATTTAATATTTAAATTATATAATTTTAAAATTTATAAATTATTTAAAAATTAATATTCAAAAAATAAATTTTTAAGAATTACAACTTCAATAGCTAATATATTGTAATGTAGTGTTGTTAGGTCCTTAGCTAACAAGCTACAATACTTGACTAATTATTTGAGTAGTTAAAAATGTGTTTATATAATTTTATAACAGAAAATAGTTTATAAATAAAATAAAATATTGTTAGCTTAAGGTGTGGTGACTTAGTGAAATAGTGAAGTTGTCACACCCCAAGTAGCACATCCAGAGTTCAAATTCTACTATCAATAAAATTCGAATTTTCTGTTGTAGAATAGTTACTGTAATAATAAGTTGAATTGTTAATCTATAACCAAGGTCATATCAGATATTTAATATCTGAAAGATTATCAGGTATTCATGCAATGTATAAGTTATATGAAGGCATACAAGCTAGTATTAGTTAGTATAAACCCATGATAAGTCTCAATAATCTATATAAAGCCACAGAATTGAAGTTACAAATTCCCACTTGGAAAAACCTGAGTAGAGAGGTAGCACAAATTTTTGATGATACTATGTAAAGGATTATCACTAAAAAGAACTAAAAAACTGAATAAATCATAAGACTAACTATCAACCAGGCCATCGGGGCTAAAGAAAAAGAATTCACTTAATTGCAGTTATCAGAA